ACTCTTTCATTAAAGTGTCTTAACAAAATATGGTTGTTCATAAAGCAGGAGACCTTGTGTATGACCAACCAAAATTGTAGGAGGAAGTGGTTGTAGTGGAACGAAATGTTAAATAGTTTAAGATTGCCGTTGTGTATAGTAAATGCTGTTATTTTAGTACTTAGGTTTTAGGTTCATTTATTCCGTGATACTCAGGTCAAGAATGGATATGCCGATTGCGTGGAGCTCAGACCTATGTTGAGCCATGGTACAAAGGACCAAGATAAGCGATAGTCATCCTAGAAGTTGCTGCGAATTTGTGCAACTGCTACCCACCATTGATGACGTGAAGTTAGAAGTGCTTAAAGTTAATCGATACTTTATATTCCTGTTACTCAAGCTGTGCATCATTTTCACTTCTTGTATTTAGGGGGTACGCCATAATAATGTTTCATGCTTTATACCTGTAACAATAAACTTTCTCTATAAATCAATACACATTTATCGATATTTTCTACACGTGGTTTTACCTTTGTAGACTTCTGTTCGATACTGTGAGAACTCGGGCTGACAAGAAACATTCTTTTCATCGAAAAATAGTGACGTCGTTTTCTTAGTTAGTCCACGCGAGCATCCTCGTCCTATGAAGTAATAACTAGGTTTAGTGACTAAGATTTGTCTATGAGTTCTCTTGATAGAACCACAATGTTGCTGAGATATTTGCAAAACTCTGGACCGCAGGTGTCTATGGTGGGAAACGAACGCACTATTGTCCTTCCCGGGGAGTAACGCGTTCACCACCACACTATGTGGGTCCTTCGTTTCGCGTGTCTTTCAGCTAGTTCTATCGATCTTTTTGCCATCAGCAATCACCCGTCAACGGGATTGATCTGGGGAACCCACATCGGCATTGAACACAGTTAAGCTGAAGCTGTAGTTGAAATCACAATGTTTTACCATTTTGATAGAGTTTGAAATCTAAGAGAACGTAGACCAATGGAACACCCAATCAGTTGAGCTGGTTCAGATAAAGGAAAGACTTTGGATCCAATTTCTTTTGTCGGAAGCCACGTTCGGGTTAGGGTAGCCTTTCTTTGAATTGCATGAGGTGACTATTGTACGAGCACACGCATCCATCGTAGCGTTTTCCTTTTGGAGTCTATTTCAACATTTTTGTTTTTTCCATAGACTCTTGGGCGGCCGTCTTCATAGAATAAGAGAACAGTCGGCTTGCTTTAGAACATTATAAGAAGAACTTATACTTGAAGATTCTGACCTGCTGGTGTACTCCAACGATAAAAAAGGAACCGTGAGTCACGTACAGCAAAGATGTAAGATCGTACAATTCAGAATACCCGGTAGTGGAACGACCAGAGATCGCTTACGGCTAGACTATTCACAGTGCTTGTGGTCAGAATTCTCTACAAAAATTCGGAAAACTAAGTTCCCCACCATCATCTTGTGCTTAGTATCTCAAGAGTGTTAGGTCCCGATTAGGCAATTGTGATAACTGCGACTACGACAAGGATCAATGAAAGCGATGGCGATACTATTCGACGGAAATGTGGTAATGTAGATGAAGTCTGGATGAACTGTGAAACCAAACGTTGTAGGAGACGCTCCTACTTTACACATTTCCATTAGCAGTTCTAGGTCAATTAGTATTTGTTTAGAGAATCCGTTCAGTGTAGTCCTACAAAGTAGTGAAGACGAAATTATAGGGATAGTTGTCCATCAAGACAGAGCTATCTTCATTCGAAGAAAAATGAGAAATCCCAGAATTCACGTTTGGATTGCACTAACGAAGTGTTCAATATTTTTTTAGTTGGAAAAAGTTTTCTTCATAGCGATTTCTGAAAGGAGGCCTTCGATACAAGTACTCGTGGTTCATTTCATACCGAAGGCATGGATATCAAAAACTAAGAGTCACATTCGACGGACGTAATCACTACCTACTGACATGCTTCCCGTCCCATTTAAAATACATATTAAAGATGGGTAATAGCGCGTTCGTTGCCCACCACAGACACCTGTGGTCTGAAGTTTTACAAATATCTCAGCGTCATTGTGGTCGTACCACACATATTAAAAAACTACAGAAAAATGTCGCTAGTGGGAAAGAAACGTTTCATTCGTGTCGATTTATTCTTACGTTGCGAAAGACATGAAAAGGATAAAAAGGATAAAGCTCTCGGCGTTGATCAATCCCCGAGGGATGCGCCATGCATTCGACTTCACTAAACACCTTTGGAGGTGATTGAATGCATATCTGGCCTTTATAAAGACTCGCGGTGGCCTGTCGATGTATCGAGCTAGTGCTGCTATCCTCGCAGACAAGTTTGGTACCAATCTGCCGAGCCCCGGAGATATGGAAGTCTTGGTGGGCCATGGATGCATGGATCGATTCCACGTGTGTCGCAGTGACGCCTCCAACCACTGCGCCACATGCGACCTTAAATATTTTAATACGCTCATTCATTTCTGAACAAGCTGGTATCACTAGAGAGAGGCAGAGTTATTGCTCAACAGAAATTTCTAGAGTGTTTCCCAATGAGTTCAATCTGATAGAGCCGATTCAATGCGTGTTATGCTAAGTATGAATGAGTACATCAGATAAAGCGATATACAAGAAGTTTTGCTAACACAAAAAGTACTAGAGTTCAGACTAAAGTTCACACAAAGTTCATCAGATAAGAGTGTGGAACAACTCCAACATAAAGAACGATGACTTCGACAAGATACGTGGCAACGCACGGACTACAATAAATTCTGAAAGAAAGCTGGATTGAGCTGAAGCTAGTAAGAGTGAAACTACTGGCAGGAACCATTCATAATTCTGATATACTTGTTCTCCACAAATAAACTCTGTTACGAATAAGTAGAGGAAGCGAGCGAATAAAAAATTGTCAAAAGATAAAGAGGATATTACAGTATAACAAAGCTGAGGCGGACTGGCAAATTCTTTGACGCGACTTCAACTTCAGTAACTGTTCTGCACAAAAGAGTGCCGTCGAGTGAGGTTACTTCGTTCGAAAGGTGCTCCATTGCATTTGAGTTGATGCAATCACGAAGACCAACATTGGAAGAATGAATGGCTGTGGAACGGATCTGGATTCAATTCTGATCGATCCGGCTCTGAAGAAGATGAAGGCGGCGGAACGTTAACCAAATAAGGTTTTCTTAATTAACCTCGCGTTAGCTTATCAGTGAAGGGATACACCTCGACGTAACCGTTCCATTACTCTACAGCTATGAAGCCATAAAAGTGCCAGTCAAAAGGTCTTCAGGTGTTTTTTTTGCTCAACTTATTTCCTGTTACTTCGACAATAGATTTGTTAGATAGCTTTGTACTATTTCTGAATAACCCATTCTATGCCTGAAGGTATTCCGACAGCAAGTTTAACTCTAATTTGCTTCGGCACAGTCATGAAACTGCACTTCATTCTCTATATGTTTTTGACTAGTAGGTTTGCTTAACCCTCTCTCAACTTCAGCACCGTTCTGATTTCACTAACGCCTTCACATTTAGCAATGACGAGTAATAAATCAACAGTGGCTAGGGACGCCAGAGAAATGATCAGTTGTAAACGGGATATCTTTCGTTTTTCCTATGCATCATTGTCAATCTTCCTCTAAGGTGTCAGTTACTTGACATGTTTCACCTTCACTTTTTTCATCACCAATCAATCCTTCTACTCATTGCTTTCTCTTTTTTCGCCATTTTCTTCATAAAAAGTCGGTCGTGGGAGTTGCTGAAAGATGTGCCAACAAGATACTTCCGACTTGTAAAAGAAGCGCTGTCACTTAGACAAAAGATCGTCTTACCTCGACAGTCAATACACTTTCGCCGCCGCTGTCTAGAACATCGAGTCGTTCCGAACTTCATCAAACGAAGACGACTACACGACGTATGCGGACTACCAGAGGACAGTCACCAAGTACTGGACATCGAATTGCGAATACTACGCACTTGTCTACGAAGCCGACAAAACCAGATGTTCGCCAAGTGAAAGAAATGCGAGATGAAGGAAAACCTTTGTGCTCAGTATTTGGAGGACCGCCTCTGGAGGAAAATAGTGGGTAGGTTAGTGTTGATTTGCAACTCTATTAGGTCTAATGCTAAAGTAGCTTTGCGAAGAAAATTTGAAGACTTTTTGAGTAAATCGCATAGCACACAGAAATATCGCCAACGAACATCAAACGGATCACAGTAGGATAGGTAATGTCCAATAAAAATCAAGGCTAACCGTGTTAGGAGGCATGACTCTCCCTGACGATGAGCGTTCGTTATTAGAATTAGGACCGAGTTTCTCACCATTTGAACCCATTTCTAAGGTAGCCTTGCGTACGGTCGCATGTAGTTTACATGAACTTCAAGATAGACCCCGCAAAAAAGCTAGAGATGAAACGCAAAATAGGGGCGAAAAACACCAAGTGGGGGCCCTACCAATAGCACCACTTCCTCAGCCGTTCTTTAGACAACAAGAGCCCAGTAATGAATTTGATGTTAAATTTCGGATGTTTACGAATGAAACTCTCAAAGTCCTTAATCACTATCGCGCGAAAAGATACAGCTCAAACCTCACTGAAGTGCAAAGACGTGGTACGCGAGAGGTAAAAGAGCTGACAAGGTTGAAAAACATAAGACTATCCGTCAGCAATAAGGGTGGAGAGTTTGTCGTAATTCCCCATCAGTTAGATGTTGAAACAACGGAAAAGCGTCTTGAAGATGCTTGACTTTACCGCCCATCATCTGAGAAGGAATTTAAAAGTAAATACCGAAAATTGAACCACGAATGGGCCAAAATGGCAAGAGCTGCTGATTTAAAACCATCAGTTATCTCTCAACTAAAATTTGACTTACCAACATAACCCGTCTTATACTTCTCGGTAGACGGGCGAACGGATAGGATAACATGGCTTTTAACCCTAATACTTAACCAGTTGTTGAAACACATTCCAGCCCATCTTATGAATACCGAAATATTTCTGGATCGCCTACGTAGTGCTCAGCCCAGCAGATGGAATCCTTCGACGTTACCGCCCTTTATACAAACGTGTCGAATGACTCCGCAATGCAAGCCATATGTGAACTCCTTATGCAATACGAAGGAGAAATAAACATGTATGGCTTCAAGATAGAGCAGTTGATGGCACTCTTAAAAGAACGCTTCAGCCGCCTAATCTTCAGACGGTCCGGAAAGTGCTACGGACAACGACTGGCACCAAGTCTTGCCATTGCGTTTACGTCTAAGGTGGAAGCACCGGTGACTGATCTCAGGCCGCTACCCTACTGTAGATATATGACTGTTTTGCCCTTTACTCAAAACAAGAGGAAATGGACAAATGTTTCGAGTAAAATGCACAGTCAGAGCATATCAAGTTCACTCGAGAGAAACCGAAAGAAAAATGGCTTCCATTCCTAAACGTCGAAATCCACCTGTCAGAAATGGATACATTACAAAGTGGTACCGAAAGCCAAGTAGTAAAAACATCTTGGTTCATTACCTCTCCTCTCACCCCTCTCACACGAAAAGGGCGCTTGTAAGAAACATGTTTCGAACAGCAACCAACGTGTGCACGGGAAGAGAGCAGAGAGAGAAGTCCCGGAACTTGGCGCGGCAAATAGCCATTTTTAATGGCTAGGAAACTGTAGCTCGAGATAGGCGTAGAAGAAACCACAGGCCTCCCAACGATACCTCTAGCGGCAATAAGATCCTGTTTATCCTGCCCATCATTTCAAATGATGTAAATGCAGCTATAAAACGCTGTTTAAGAAGGGCGTGCCTAGAGAATTCGGTAAACGTAATTGAAATGCCACCGAGTAATCATAGGCGCCAGCTAGTTCGTAACCGCCTATATGACCGTCTATGTGCAACCCAAAACTGCATAATTTGCTCCAATGGTAGAGACGGTGATTGCATGAGCTCGGGTATAGTTTATCTGATCTCCTGTAAGGCGTGCGGAGACGAATACCTTGACGAAACGGGTAGACCACTCTATGTCCGAATGAAAGAACACCTAGTCGGCAAACGTAAACCACATACCCCACTAGGCACCCACAGGACGCAGAGACATAACGGAGAAGATTTTGAAGTATGTGTCACGATCCTCGCACAGGAATCGAGAACACAAGCGCGCAAAACTCTCGAGGCGTTCTGGATTAATTCCAGAAATCCGAAAATGAACCGCGGTGAAGAATGCCTAATTATCACGCGTGATATTTGGCAGTATATAAGCCTGTTATTCTGATGGGAGGAACACATTCCACTTCCATGTGGATTTTGTGCGGTTGGTCTTCACGCGACATACTCAGTGGAAGCCTCATAGAAAGCCGTGAATGCGCAAAACTGTGTTCAGTGTGGTTGAAATCTTGGTTTAGCGTTTTCTTTGTTTGGTTATGGAGGTGTTTGGCCGAATAGATTGCCGTCAACTTGACCTTTGCAGGCTCTGAGGAAGGCAAATCCGCCGAAACGTCGGCTTGTTCGTGAATAAAGGATAAAAATAACACCTCGCGTTTGCTCAACAAGAATACGAAGAATTCTCTTCATATTTTTACACTTTTAAACCAGTTAGTGATACGAGTGACAATCCTTCATGGCGAGAGAGGACATTAATTTAGCAACTGTTCACTTCCTTTCTATGTCACCTTTCGCTTCCTAGCAGTCATCATTTCGCACTTCTTATCACTCCCATCATTCTCTTCGCTTTGTGTTACAGAACCAGATCCGTTTCGTATCAAAGGAAGTATATTTAAAAAAAACATCTTTAAAAAAGCAGAAAGAGCGCCCAGTGAAGACTTGAGTTCTGCGAAATTATGGTGCTTAGATAAATGCAAAACTTGGACCTCTGACTAGATTCGAACCCGTGATTACCCGTTCCGTGGCTGGCTGACAGAAAATCAAAACAAGAGCCTCAGTGGCGCAATGGGTAACACGTGAGCTCCCGAAAAGGGGTCCGATTTGATCTAGGGTCAAAGTTTTACAAATATTTCAGCCTTCTGGTGGTTGTATTTCACATCATACCCTGCCGCGAAATATAGTAGTAGACGAAAATAGAAAAGTTAACATCTATGAAATTACTTCAAAATCGAATTTCTTTTAACCTCAGTGTGACCAATCAATATGTATTCTTTCACTGATAAGCTAAAATGAGGTTGATGACCAACATTATTCGGCCAGCCGATAACTGGTAGGTATGGCAATTTGTTGAAACTATTCGCCACAATAAAGACTACACACATAGTTTGGAAAAGAGACCCTTCATTGATTACCGATGGATTTTAAACAGTACTTCTTTTTTTTTCGAAACCGACCTTCCCTAAACCTCGGTGTGACAAATCAATATGTATTCTTTCTTGATAAGCTTGCACGAGGTTGATAAATATATTTATTTTCGGCTTTAAGCCGAAAATAAATATATTTATCAACCTCGTGCAAGCTTATCAAGAAAGAATACATAGTACTTCTTTTTGTCCCAGTGCGCATTTTGGTACACATACACACATCTATATACACAGACGTACGCATACCCACAAATACACACAAATACACACACACATACACACACACAATTAGGAAGAGCATCGTAGATGAAGGGTGCGAGGAACAGAAAGGAATAAAAGAAATGATCTGACAGTGAAAACAATGTCATGTAAGGTCACAGTGATGAAAACAAACGTGTTATATGAAATACTACCAGCAGAAATTGAAAATCACTTTATACTTCGTCGAGAATCGAGAATAAATTTAACATTCCTAGACAATCGGGGATGATGTTTTTCTACTGGAGGTCAGTCAGATCTGGTCCATAAAAGTGCAAGCCACGCCCGGCGCGCCGGTGCCAGTTATCGATTGGCTCGGTTTTCGAACCGGCATCGGTCCTCATCCCTGACCTCCGATCAGTCCAGAGATCTATCCATTACATAAACTTAATCGTTTAAATCCTTAAATTTTTCTCTGTTCGTGTTAATAATGTATGCTATGTGTGTGGAATTTTGGAGACGTCACACTTAAGGACTTTCTTCGATTTACCCCTGGTATTTTGCTATATCCTTTTGGTACTCTTCAGGTTTACTGTGACTTAAAGATAGATGTTGCTGCTTAGTATTTATCCCTCACAAGCTGTTAAATCGACCCACTGTTGATTCTTTTCTTGTTTGTTTCTGGCTTAGAATTCCAACGTTGAATTCGTCATTTAGTTTATGTTGAGCTGCGAACGTTTAGTTAAATCTTAGCAGAACAATGGTATTTATACTAGCAGGACCCTTTTGTGTCATACAAAATCCCCTAGGTCCTTTTTCTTCGACGTTGCTGAAATGACCAGTTCATCAGTATAGCCTTCATCAGTTTTCTCGGCTAGGCAGTATGCACCATTTGAGTACTATGGTCGTCGCAATTTTCTTAAGAGATCCTTTATTTTTACTAATTTTGTCCATAAAATAGCCGTGGCTGGCTCGTTGGGATTCCTCATGGTACAGGACTACTTTTAGCTGGAGGTCTGGTCGAACTCCTCATATTCTGGAACCTTCGTAGGTGGATAAATTCCAGTTGTACGTCGGTTCATCATCCGGCCACACGTTGTTGATACCACGATGAGACAGTGGGTTATTAGAGTGGAAATGACCAACTGTTTACTAACTTGTCTCCATTCTTAGATGACCCGTCTTCAAATATGCGGACCACAGCACTTTTCCCACTCGTTGCATTGTGTCGCAGTCGTCCTTCATGGAGTTAGTAGAGTTCACATGTGGTTTCGGCTGCAGTTTGAGGCTCTATTATTTCCTTATTGTCATAGTGAATACTGGTGGAGGGTGTTTTTGTTAAAATCCTGAGTGAGCCCTGCTGGGGTGGTACCGCATCACCAATTCTAACGCTTGTGTGTTGGAGTACCATTCACTTCCGTAGGACTGATATTCCTTCAGTACGACGGCGAATCGTAAGGTTTTTTTAGGGTGATGCTACAAGCTCTACCGTACTAGCAAGTAGAAATACCATATCCCATTCGTTCCTTCCTCTCGCAATCGTAGTCCATGGTGGTGGTTTTGTTCGAGCAAGGCAGTGCTTGCGAGTCTCATACTGCGAACTGTAAAACAACTGCAGCTGCGGGTACAGCTGATTAACTTTGTTTACGAACACGTCCGCCTAACGTGTAGGTGTTCGTCCTAGGAGACGTTTGCATTCTCTTGGAGTCCACTCTACTGTTCTTTTCGTTCATCTGTCGTCGGCTCTTCTCATTATGTGACCAACACACAGGCTTTAACAGCAAGAACTGGGTATTTATCCACTAACAGTCCCATCTTTTTTTTTTATTGACACCATATGATGTTCTTCCGTTCGTGTTTTGTCGTATAACATATAGTGATGCTACGTTTTGACAAAACCACAATGCTGTTGAGATATTTGCAAAACTCTGGACCGCAGGTGTCTGCGATGGGGAACGAACGCGCTATTACCATTTCCGGGGCCAACGCGTTCATCATCACACCAAGCATGTCCTTCGTTTCGCCTATGTCTCAGCTAGTTCTATCGATCTCTGCCATCAGCAATCACTCGTCAGAGGGATTGATCTAGGGAGCCCAAATCGGTATTGAACCCAGTTAAGCTGAGGGTGTAGTCGAAATCACAGTGTTAATTTCCGTAGTAGTGCTGCGCTTTGTTTGCTAAAAGGAAAAAAAGGATTCGTTCATTGTGGCCATTGTTAACGTTCTGATGCATTTTGTTGTACATCAATGTTATTTAGAGTCACGGTGCGACAGTGTATTACTGGAGTACTTAGTTGAGTCGTCTTAACGAGTTTTGCTAGTTCAGTGAGGTTTTCGTTAGAATAGCCGAGTGTGCTCCTTCGAAGATTCCTATCCGGTGTTGTATTCATTGCATTGTAAACTCTGACAGTAGTGGTTTTTCCCCGGGTAATGTGTGTATTTTAGTCTATTGGTAGGTGAAGCTGCGTGTCTGCCAACGGCTGGATAAATTCTCTTTTCAATCCCTAAAGACAGAGCGCTCAGTATTGATAAATCGCATAGCAATGACTGATAATGCATCGAACGTTCATTAAGCATCGTAGAGTTGATTGAATTCCTATACGGCCTATACAATGACTTCCGGTGGTCTTCTTCCTCTTAGACAAATCTAGTGCCAGTGCCGATTCCGGTGGGGTAGAACCATTGGTAACAAGGAGCGCAAGATCGAACTACTGACGGCCTCAGTATGCATGTAAAGAAACCTCTAACGATGGCTCTACACGTGTACTTTCGTATTGATGTCTCTTAGTAATTAAATGTTCTAGTGAATTGAGATGTGGGACGTCGTGCTGCAACCATGTAGGTGTGAGTTATGCTTTTGGATGCTGCAATGTATCGCACTCTATAAGCATAAGGTTTCAACTTTTTTGAAATTATTATTTTAGCTACTTATAATCTCTATGCTTTCGCTTCGTTCATAGTCATACGTTGAGATGATGGGATGCGGATTGGGCTTGAGGACCTGCCATCATATGTCCTAAATTCATATGTCGAATATTTTTCGGAGAATCAGTCCCAAGATAGCGGCTCGTCAGCGTTCCCAGGTCTTCACCACATGCAGTCGATTTTGGATTAGAGGGGGATACGCTGCCTTGTGACTCGGATTTTTCTAACACAGCAGCGTTTTCCAAGATTAATTAGTCGATTAATTAATCATGGTGTAAGACGTCGAATCCTAGAGGGTTCATTCACTTCTTTTGTGTTCGTAAGTCCAACTTGGTCACCATTATAGGTCACCTTATGGATTAACATATTCTCAATTTCTATAGTCTCATGAAAGAGGAAGAGTGTTATGTAGAAATGAAGGGCTGCTATGGTAGCCTTTGTGGTAATCTTGCTGAAATGGTTAGATTTACTAGTACAAATTCACTGCAAGTACTGTGTACTGTTGTAGTTTCGCCGTCAGTCGTCTTATTCTAACACATTCTAACACTAAGGTAGAACAAGTTCTAGCTAACAAGTGTAAGTCCACACCTTTCGGTAATGTAAGTTTAGAAACGTCTTTTATTCGGTACATACTTGATATTCGAACGGTCCGTCCTCACTGGTCGTCCGAGCCCCAGCATAATCTCCATTTTTTGGAGACTTGCTGGTTGAGCATTGTGGTTCGCTGGAATGCTGAGGTCAGCCTAGCCAAAGTCTGCCGCAGGTCCTCACCACCACAGGTAGTCGCAGCCCTAGTGGATCAGAGGGAGATTTGCCACAATGCAACTAGTTTGATACCAGGACAATGGTGGGTCCTGGTATTGGTTTATTCTTGGCTAGGCTTCCTGATGGAAACGCCGGACTCCTTCTCAGTTTGTGCGACCCTGCTCCAGGGGGAACGAGGAGAGGAGGAGAGGGTGAATCCTCCCGCTATACATCGCAGCCTGTAAACGGTTGGGAGGTTTTTCGGTACATATGTTTTTTATATGTTAATTTGATTCTCGCCTCCTGAAATTTTTTCTCCTTAATGTGTGGTTGGCTAATTGTTTAACGAATCCGAAGTAGTGTTCCGTGTATTCGATTCATTTTGCTTGGGGTGATGATTATTGAACTCTGTGATAACATTTTCTAAGCCACAATTTTAACTTCTTATTTACTGCGTACTGTTTTTAATTGCAGAGTATGTTGCAAAATATAACTTCAATGATGTTGAAGGTTTTGCAAAACTCCGGACCGCAGGTGTCTGCGATGGGGACGAACGCGCGCTGTTACTCTTTTCGTGGGCTAACGCGTTCACCACCACACCATGCGAGTCCTGCATTTCGTCTTCCTCTCATCCTTGTTATTGACCTATGGATGCTCTCAGCAATCGGCCGTCAGAGGGATTGACTGGGTTCAGTGTCGACTTGTGCTCCCCAGATCATTCCCCTTGATGAGTGATTGCTGATAGCAGTTATTGGACAATAACACGGCTGAGAAAAAGACGACACGACGGACCCGCATGGTGTAATGAACGCGTTAGCCCCGGAAAGGATAAAAGCGCGTTCGTTCCCTATCGCCGACACCTGCGATCCGGAGTTTTGCAAATATCTCATCATCGTTGAAGTTAGATTTTCTATACTACTAGAACGTAGTTATTCAAAGAACTCGAAGAGTCGAAGAGAGATATTCTGGAGTTCGATTTTTATTGTCATCCATTAAAAGTTAATAAAAGTTTAGCAATATATTTTAGTGCTGCTACAGTATCTCGCAAATATCGGATGCTTGTCGTCTCTTTTCCTATGGAATGTATCGAGCGGTTGTCGATACGTATCGCCTACGTTCGGCCATATCACCGCGTGCTGGAGTTTTCCAATGGTTCTTTTTCCATCGAGAAGGACAAATTAGTGACGCATATGGTGTCAGTAGTCGTCATGTGAAATATAGCTATCATGAATGTTCATGATTACTTTTATAGGTATAGGTTAGGTAAGGAACTGGTTGAGAGAAAGGCAAAGCAAGGGCTTCAGCGCATAACACGTGAACCCTAGGAATTGGTAATAACGTGCTCGATCTGGCCTGGGATCCGTTTTGCAAATGTCTCACCATCATAATTATATTTCACGTCGTGCCATGTCGTTAAAAATAGTAATGGATAAAAGGATAAAGCCGTCAACGTTGATCAATCCCTGAAGGATGCATCATGCATTCGATTTCATTAATTATCGTCGGAGGCGATTGGATGCATGTCTTGAGTTTACAACGACCCATGGTGGCTACCGATGTATCGAGCCTGTGCAGCTATCCTCCCAGAAAGTCTGGTACCAATTTGCGGACCCCAAAGGGATGGAAGGTTTGGTGAGTGAGCGGCGCCGGGATCGATCCCATGCGTGTGTGTTGCGAGGCGCCTCCGACCACTGCGCCACACGCGCCCTGTGAAAAATAATAATGCGCAGTAAATAAGAAAGTTAACATTGTGATTATTTTTATGGTTTGTGTAGGGAAGTCAACTCAGTAGTTTTTTTTTCAGACCGTGTGTTCTGTCACTGTTTCATCGTTGGCAACTCATTCTGACATACCCGTCAAAAGGTTATTGCGTTTAGTTTGCGTTGCTGAGCGACGGAAATAGCACGAATGCTGGCCGATACCACCATCACGTAACTCCACAAACTCTCTGCAGCGCCTAGTTTAGATGCCTAGTTATTTTTACATTATCATTATTATTAAATGACGCGACATCGCATGTATTACACTACGCGGTTCCTAGCATTCTTGCATTCTGTTCGTTTCTCCGCCTTCACCATCCACGAAAGTTTTCGAGTTTTTTTTCTTGTGGCTTCAGTTGGTGTTCGACGCTTTTCCTTTCATCATGAATGTCGTCGAAAGGTGATCAAGTCGATTGTCCCTGGAATTCTGACCTAGTCCTGTTAGAGCGTTCCCATATGAATTGGAGGAAGTGTACTTGTCGTAGACAAATCTGGTGTCAATTCTCCCATCGCGGAAGGCTGATAGGCTAGACCAGTTCGAAGCAGGGTCGAACCATCGTCTAGGCAGGTTGAGCTGTTTTATTAGTTCATATAAAAGCCATTGGGGTTTGCACAGCTAAAAGAAGGCACAGTTTTGTTAGTCCACCAAGGTAAAACGTAGATTTTTAAGAGCACACAAAGAATTTTTTTCGTCGTTGCTCGCAGCTTGGACATCAGTGGTGTTCTCGTTCACTAGTGTACAGTGGTGTTCAACATAGCTTATTTTAAAGTCGTAAAGACGCATTGATTTAGAAATACTGTTTATATCTTTAGACGGATAGCCGTAAAGTTTGTTTTTCTTCTTTCCAGAGCCCTTGATTGAACACGTTTCTGGTTTATGGTTCTAAGAACCGTTCTCTTTCATGGGCATTGATGTATGAACAAAAAGACGTTTAACCCAATTTTTTGGTTCCGTTCGGTGATTTTATTTTACAACAGTGCTGTTCTAGTAGATTCCGAAGCGGCCCAGTCGGTACAGTTGATTTTGACATTTATGCGTGAGAAGGGTTTCAACACATAGGCGACAATGGATGGTTTGCGATATCTTCCGCACGGGATGGTATCTAATTCTTCACTGGTTCTGAACTGCATTGGGATCAATGCGTATTGTTGGGAATATTTTGAAACTACGAATTTGCGGAAGTTTTTAAATTTTGGCTCGATTTCGTTCCGTTCATTTTTCTGTCTTTGCGTTTTTGTCGCATTCACTCACAAAGAACATGGTTGACATTGATTTCCCTAAATCATAGATTTTAGCTCTATATTGTTGATTAAAGTGCAAAGTGCACTATTTGTTTGCATATTTCAGAGTATTTGTATTAGGAGTTCTTGTAATAGTGTGCTCAAATGGGCGGGTGCTATTTCTCTCTAATAGCCGGTGAGATAGGCCGACTCCTAATACCTGGACCCCAGTTACTAACAGGTCTGCTTTTTTTGAATGCACGTAACAAGAAAACATAACCCAAAACCACATAACATAACCCTTCCTCAATTCTGGGGGTGACTAACATTTTACGTGTTTTTCATTCTTTGCTGCACTTCCCTTGAGTAAACAATTCTCCGCTTACAACAGTTCGTCGTAAAATAGTGTCATAGGTTTTCCACATGAAGAAATATCTTCACCTAAATCGCCGGTTATATTTTTCTGAAGAATTTTCACAGCGTAGTGGAACTTTGCTTTGAAAGGCCAAGTGCTTGCTGTAAAAATTTTATTCCTGTATTTTTCTTGTTCTTAATGTTTACTCCTTTAATTATATTATTTCCTTCTTTTGTCACCATGTTTTAGCCAATAGCTGATAAATCCACGGCCGTAAGCATTGATTTCAATGCATGCACCGGCAGCTTTGCTATTGCATAATAAGCCTCAGATTTTTTTTTTAAGATTTACAAGTCTTTGGCTACAAGCTCTATACGTCCTTGTGCTTCTAGGGTTATGTTCTGATTTTTGAGAGCTCATAAATCGCTATTCTCTTTAGTTTTTATTCCATCGACGCTCATATATTGAGCAACGAAGAATGGTTTCGTCCAAAAAACTGTGTTGTCGTCAAAACTTTTGATCAACATTTGTTTCTTAAGTTCGAATTCGAGAAATTAGATTTTCTTTCTGAGAAAAATCACACATAACTTCAAGGTAGTGGAAGAGGACCAAGTTTGTTGTATGCGTTACTGAAGTGCACTCTAATTTTCGAGCAATAATTGCCGTTTTCATAAACCCTAATTAATTCGATAACGAATCTGCCAAACATGTGATAACTGGAAAAGTGCAGATTGCAGATCACGATTTCCCAGCGAGTACTAGCGTTTCTGGAAAATTCATTGGTGACAGAGCCTCTCGAGCTGAGAAGGACTCCAGCGTTTCCATCAGAAAGCCCTGATAACCGTAGATCAGTGCCAAGCTCGACGACCGTTTTGGTATCAAACTAGTCGCATGGTGGCAAATCTCCCTCCGATCCACAAGGGCGGCGACTGCCTGCGATGTTTACGCAGGGAACCACAATTGCTAGACCAGCAAAATTCCGAGAAAATAGAAATTATGCTGGAACCCGCGCAAGCCAGTGAAGACGGGCTATACGAGCATCCAAAGAAATGTGCAAGACGATGAGATGCATAATTCAATTCAGTTTAATTTTTATGCACCTGTTCGACATATGTGCTCTTAGCGAAAAGCAAGGCAATAATTTTCACACCGAGCGTCATTTAACCTAGATACTAACATTCAGTGCATTCCTGGTTTGTCAAGCCTGCACGAGGTTGTTGTATGGGTTTGATGAAGACGAAGACGTCGAAACGTGTTGGCCGAATAAAACTTCAATTACAAACTGGTGAAAAGTTAACGATCCAGAAAGGTATTTGCTCTTGTTGAATGCTTACATTTGATGTCAACTGCATTCCTTCTCTTACAAGCACATGATGAAAGTATGGGTGACGTTTTTCCCACGTATTCTTTGTACGTTAATCCAGGTGCTGTTCAACATAGTCACATGCATTTGGATGGTTGCTTCTAATCAATGTTACCTCGTTCGTGTTTCTAGTAAGTTGTTCGACAGTTGTTTTTTTCTTTTTTGTTCTTGAAAGTTTTCATAACGTTCTTAAGGGATTTCCCTCTCTGTCAGTGATTTAATTGAAACTTCAACACCTTCTTTAATTGTTATGCTAACGCGACGTTGGTAAATAGATCTGTTCGGCTAAGGTTTCGACGTCTCCGTCTTCAACAGAACCGTTGAATATCATTGGAACCTCTTGGTGTTTTCAGTCTTTTTCTCCTACGTTTTTTCAGCATTGCTTTTTTAGGCGAGTGATGTCTTTTGCTTTTATTGTCTCCGTTGTGAAACACTCTGGGAGAGCTAGTTTGGCGGCCTTTGACTGACCAAACGAGGACATTACTCAAATCTCCATCCATTGGGGACCACATGGTCATTTGATCACATGTTTCTGTTCGAACAAATGTGCATGATACAGTATTCGTATGAATAAATACATTTGTATTACGTTGTATTCCTACGTGTTTGTTATAGGAGACCTTTCCACTTTCTATTTTGAAAGCGCTTGAATCTTCGAGTTGTTGAGGAATTCCAGTATCACTTTCGATCTGTACTGATGTGTATGCATTGACTCACCTCGACGACTTCGTATGCCCATCTCGTCTTCGTTTTCTTCTTTATGTGTGGTGTAAATATCTTTCATCTGTTTTCTAGCATTTCTACGATACTTTTTAGAACAACTGCCTAACAACCATAATCTAAGGCTGTATGCAACAATTGGTGTAGGTCGAATGGGTCACTACTAACTCAGTTGACGATGACGTCGTGGATGCCACTAGGCGACATCAGTTCTATTTTTATTATATTGGTTCTATTTGCTAATCTAATCTGTAATCATCCACTATATACTTTTGATGCATCAATGCAAAGGTGGTGTTTTGCTGTTTCTATTTTTGTGCTATATCTTTTCTATCGAGGCTATTGATATGGGAACGGTTCAGGAAGGGGGCATGTGTTTACGAAATAATAATGAGTAGTGCGGTTCATTGGGGCACCATATTACTTGAAACTTTTTTAGCGCACTCGTTTTTCTGGGACATCAAGCTTACAGTTCCGTATTTCAACACATCAGTGTGAACTGGTATTCTCTCATTAATGAGCTATCACGAGGTTGATGGAAAATTTGATTTGGTCGACATTTGGATGCCATCGCCTTCTTCAGAGTCGGATTGATCCGAGTCGATTGTCCATAGTTGTTCCCTCCTCTGATGTTGATTTTCATGATAACATCAAGTCGAATTCAGTGGAGCACCGCTTAAATGACATGTCCTCATTCGGTGGCGCTGTTTTATACACGGTGGTTGCTGCTTGTACTGATCGTCCGTTGATAATTCCTTGTTTTTCTCCGGGCAGTCTATCCTGCAGGAATCGGTATAATTACAGACTAGTATATAACGTAGCAAAATTTCCAAAGCCAACTTTCTTTTGGTTTGGATATGATTACATTTCTTTCTTACTGCGACATTATTATACTATTGTATTGTATTATTCATACTTTATATATTCTTTTATTTTATCACAAAAAAGGATAAAGCTCTCAGCGTTGATCAACCTCTGAGGGATGCTCCGTGCATCCGACTTCATTTAGCATCGTTGGAGGTGACTGATTGCATATCTGGCCTCTATATTGACTCGCGGTGGCTTACCGATGTATCATATCAAGCCAGTGCTGCTATCCTACCGGACAAGTCTGGTATCAGTTTGCCAACTCCGGAGAGATGGAAGGCTTGGTGAGCTACGGGCGTGGAGGAGATCGATCCCATGTGTGTGAGTCGCAGAGCGCCTCTGACCACTGCTCCACATGCGCACATTTTATCGTATTAGTTTCATGTTATTATATTGAAACCATTTGTTGTTTCCCTGAGGTTTTAAATGTGGAGCAGTCTTATTTACATGGTCGGCCGATGGTGAAATCAGTCTTTTTTTCTTTTGTAGGTAAGTTCCATTTTCGGTGATTTGACTTTTGACTACGATTGTGAGTATTTCTTGACACTTAATGACTGTTAATATTAATGTTAGAAGCAGATATTGCAGTGTGACCAGTTAGTACCATATTCACAGGTTCACACTTTTTAAAAAAAGTTTCCATATATAATGTTTCGCAATTATTGACATACGATTGCAAAGAGCTGAGAAATTGTTTCCGTAAAAGGTCCTACAAGTTACTTAAAACCAATATTCCTACAGGCCACTTAGGGTCACTCTTGTTTGAAACAGAGCTTTCGCCTCCGGGAAGTATTTGTTCAGGAATTTAGGTTGCTACTAATATTGTAGGTCCTAACTATAATTTCTAACGCTTTGATTGTATTAAAGATGCCCATTATGTTTCTCGCATCTAAGCGATGTTTGGGAAACATCTGACAGCATTTGAATCGCCTGTAAGCTCACTAATTATTGAATAACTCGAGTGGGCATCAGTATGTTCTTCAGCGATTCGTCTTCGACGTCAGAAGGGTTCAGTTTACTCTGATTATTCGGAACATTCGAAGGATATCACCGCTTCTTACCAGGTCGTTTATTTTGATCGTTCTTGGTGATAAGACGACCAAATGTTGCTGAATTATCGTTGTATACCGAATTTTCTCTCATTAGAGTACCATAGTCACGTTGAAGTCGTAAGCTAATAAGGAGGTTGTTTTCGAATAATCAGTACTTTCCACTGATCAATAGATCACTATTTCCTTAGTGAGTAAACTCCTTAGTGAGTAGACTCCTTAATGAGTTGTTAGTGCAGTATTCGTTTCACATCACTTAACGTTTCGGCGGATTTGACACGAATCTGCTCAGCCAAATGCTTCTATAACTTCAGCAGAAGGAACGCAAGGTCCAGATTTTAGTTGCATGGGAAATTGCTTCTTTCAAACATTCACCGTTTTGTACCTTTTTTTTCTATTCGTATAAATGACTTTAGCTTTTAAAGCATAGGTTGTTGATTCTTTGGGAAACCTATGAATTCAGGAGCGATGACTCATCTCCACCCACTACTATAGTTCGTAGTTCGCTCAATGCGCAGTTGGGTGGCTCCGAAAGCGTCTCTACGTCAAACGTGAGTATTTCTCAATCTTTCAAAGTGCTTTACACTGTCTTTCAATATTCCTTTCTGGTATGCATTGTGTATCTTTTGTTTGTTTATATTTCCTTTGTGCTGATGTTTTGTATTTTCTTGAATGAAGTTTTCTTTAAAGCTCTTTACTGTTCTGTTCATGGGAGCGTGTGGCGTAGTGGTCGGAGGCGCCCTGCGACTCACACGTGGAATCGAGCCCTGCTCCCATGGCCCACCAAGCCTTCCATCCCTCCGGGGTCGGCAAATTAGTACCAGACTTGTCTAGGAGGATAGCAGCACTGGCTCGATACATCGGTAGGTTGCCGCGAGTCATTGTAAAAGACCAGATATGCATTCAGACACCTCCAACGATGCTTAGTGAAGTCGAATGCATGGCCCATCCCTGAGGGATTGATCAACGTCGAGAGCTTTATCTTCTTTTTTTATTACTGCTCTGTTTGTTACTGCTGTGCAGTGGTGATGAGGGTAACACTGGGATATATACCATTCATTCAACTCTGTGTACACTAGAAATTCAATTAATCTTACGGGTTCTATTCATTGGTGTATGTCGAAATTGCGTCATTTGTCAATCGTTTTTCAGTTTTAAGTCAGTTTGATCTTTAGGAATCAGCAGTGCATTTTAATGCAGCATATATGGCTCGTGTTTATGGTCAGCTTGGTTTAAACTATGATATTGATACTGGCAGGCCGTTTATCTATTGTGAAGTAAGTTGTTATTGAGCTTATTGAGCTTTTTGGTACATATGTAACACTTCTTAGTGGGAAGTTTTCTACTTGGGCTTCGCATAAATACTGAGTGTAATCGTTAAAGCTCAGTTGAGAAAAGTAGAGAAAAGTAGAGTAGAGGTGTATGTGAACATGAATTGTCTAAGTTACTTTAATTCTTAGACGTTTTTGACTTTAGAAATTTGATCCAAAATCATGTGCACCAAGTGATCTGCAATGTCCCACAGTGGAGCAGTGCTATGCAGAGCCAGAAAATCGGGCTCAACGACTTGGCTGTATGACTGTGTTTAAGTATATTACAGAGGTGATTTGTGTATTTCTGTTATTTCTTCTGTTTTGAGCGGTGTTTCCAAATTTCAACCGCTTCTCAAAGCCTCTAGTCAAGCATGAAGTATCTGATTTATAAGAATACGTTGAGTACATTAAGCAGAATATTCATTATATTTCGAAGGAAGTTTTTATCATGAAATTTTGATTATGTCTGTTTTTCTTCTCATTACCTTATCTGTTGTCAAAATTGACTTCTATATGATTATTTTTGATCCTTCTGATACCCGTCGCTTGGATACATTCCAGAGCAAGGGGTGAAATCTAATAAACCACATTATTTGCTGGCGGTATTCATTTCTGCATTACAGTCAGCCGTAATGGTATGGGTTTATGTACCTGTTAGTGCAGTCACTCAGAAAAAGCAAAGTTTCGTTGGCCAAGTAGGGGCTAGGGACAAAAAAAAAAGTTTGGAGCATACAAAATACACCAATCTGCTCTATGTCGACCAATTCGTTGGTGGACGCTTTTGTTCTTCTGACCAGCCACGCTGAGCTGTTATTAGTGCCGCAGTTCAAACATTCAATGTGAACAGTTGAGATTTTGTGTTAACTTTTTGACGCAGCAAAAACAATATGCCAAGATCGACACCAATTATAATGAGCAAACAGCCACATTGGTAGTAGGGAAGACTCCTACAATGGATCGATGTTGTAGTCTGCAGAAGGAAAAACGTATTGTATGTATACTTAAGCGGATGCTTGGACGGTGCATCTTCACGAGTTGTGTGGGCCCCAACACATTTGCCATTCGTTTTTTTCACTCGTAATCATTATCCATGGTAGTGGTTTTTTTTCCAGCATGCCGGCGGGTGCGAGTCTCATACTGTGATCTTCAAAACAACTGCAGCTGTGAGCACAGTTGATTAGCTTTAGTTAAGAACACCTCCGTCCAACGTGTAGGTAGTCACCTTCGGAGATGGCTGCATTGTCGCGGAGTCCACTGTACGCTGCACAGTTCTTTTCGTCCATCTGTCGTTGTTTTCCTGATTATGTGATTACCCTATTTTTCGCTATCGATGTATGTTCGGCTAAGTATCGGAGATGAGGTAGATTTCGAAAATCGGAGCTTCGCATTCCGGTTAGACATTGTCAGTGCCAGTAATGTTTTAGAAGACATCGTTCAAGTGCTCTGCCAGTAGTGCTCAGTGTTCTTGAGTGGTTGAAGTATCAGCCCACGTTTATGCAGCATAAACAGGGTGCTAGGAGGACAGTTGAATCGAAGAGGTGAAGGCGGTGTTGCGGCATTGAGCTCCCAACTTTATATAAATACCAAGTCGTTGTGAATATTAGTCTTTGTAGCTGCCACGCAGGTCTTTTGTGTGTAAGTCACTGAGTCGATCGTTGAGTTACGACTTTTATGATAATAATAGCAATAACAACAATAACAGTAGAGCGAATATATAGAAGAGTTAGGAGATATGGACGAACTGGATGGACACTGGACCAATTTTGCGAACACTTGAAGACGAATGGCCATGGGCTGTCTGTATTACTTTTGTAGTGGGTGGAGCATTGCCAGAGGGAACTAAAGACAGCACCTAGAGAAAGTTTCTAAAGGTTTTTTCTAATAGCACAATCTGATAGAGCTACATGTGGGAGAGCACAAGTGCTCGTTCGGAAACTTCTTTGGGACGGCAGATGATGGGAGGTACATTCAGCTAACTGATGCTGATTCAGTGCCCGAATTGTTGGAGAAAGGACAGCAGTTTATTGAAAGAAGTTATAGAATCCCTTTCTAGCCACCTGCGAGGCAACTGCATGAGATAGTGGCTAAGAGACAGTTTAGAGAAGATGCGAAGATAGATTTAAGATAGTTACAGGTGAACAAGAAACATACACTAATATAAAAATAGGAATTATTTGATGAATAGTTCCTATATGCTGATTATATACGCACGTATATGTTTACATATACATATATGTGTGTATATATATATATGTGCATATGTATATATACGTATGGACATACATATATGTACATGTGTACGTAATATATATATATGAAGTATATATATATACTTGGTATATTTATCTATATGATCTTATAAACTGATCTTGTTGAGCTGAAGCGAGTTTGGTATAGGTCTTCGTTGTCGTTGCTGGTGGTGTAGTTGGTCGATGGCTGACCTCTCGGCGATTTCGCGTTCCTCAGAACCGCACTTTTACGAGTGGGACTATTATAT